AATTCAAATGTAATGAAAAAAATGTATCAGTAGGTATTATTTTCAATAAAAGAAGCAACATTTTCAAATCGCTTGATTTAANTACTCCAAATCCCGCAAGCCGTACACTATGTAGATTACACATTACGTTGGACGCCCCATGCATCAGTTTAGCGCGCTATGAAATAATCGCTTGTTGCCAAACTATAAGCTTTAGGAAAAAACTAATTATTTCAAAAATTTATGTAGTGTTTGGGCTTCATTTTCTTCGCTGCATGTATATAAAAAAAATCATAAATAAAAAAGTTTATCGATTGGTGAAAATTGTATTACACAAAATTTAAATATCAAGTTTTCCTGATTTTTAGCGAAATGAAAAAGCGATTTTTATAAAATCCATTAGTACTGTTAAAAGCGCTATTATGTCTGCTTTAATTTAAAAAAAAAATTACTCTGATAGTACAATTATTTTTTGAGATATAACGGTGGAGACTTTAAAAAACATGTTCTCATAAAAATAGATTTTTTTTTAATTTTTCGAAATTAAAAAGATCCCGACCAACAAAAAATGTCGTAAAATACGATTTCATATGCCCAATCACATGCTTAATAAAACCTACCATGTCTGACCTGGTTCTACGTAAAAAAAAAAACGACACAATATACTCTTCAAATCGCTGCACTATTTGCCTATTCCAAAAAAAAACATTGCTAAATTCAAGGGAACAACAAACATACAAAAAGAACGAAAAATTATCCGTTTTTCGACATATTTTTTCCCTGTAACATTGAAAGTAAGCCCTAAATAAAAAAAGTCATTCTTTATTTTTTGTGTATTTGACGATTTTCTAAAAGTTATAACAACTGCGAATAAAAAAAGTTGAATTTTGCATTAACAATGGGGGAAAAATAGTAGAAAATCATATGTATATTTGGAGCAAATTTTAAAATAACTAAATATTTATAAATACTGATGAAACTTTGTGAACAAATAAATAGTAAAACATTTGTCAATTCTACCCTGAAAATTTTGCAACGATCGATCGCATGGTTTCCGATTGACAGGATTGTTAATTAAGAAAATTTAAAAAAGTTTATCGCGTACCGTGGGTTTAAATAAGGTTTAGAAAGGGCACACAATTTTTTAGAGATACTTGTTGTCATAATAAACAATGATTAATACTAAAAATACCTATGTTTACACTTTCTAACCTTTTACATAATATTTGGGATTTTTCTGTACAACAAAACAGATGACTTCAAATACAAACGCCTCGAATGCTCATCGCCTTGACATAACAATATTTGGTAGAATTAGATTGGTACTTATGGAATATCGGTGCATATCAAATCAAATCATTTATTGATGTCTAATACATTAAAATGTTTACACAAGTCAAAGAAAGAAAAACACGAAAGATGCAACATATAAGCGATACTACACTAAAGCTAAAAAAACACATTCAGATAAATATAACGTAAACAGCATAAAAAAGTGAATATTATGAACATACATTAAATATCTAAAAAATGGTGAGCAAGGAACTCATCAAAATTATAAAACGCTTTCCTCTTAAGATAGTTTCTAATTCTGGCCTTAAAACAGTCTGAATTTAGTGATTGAATCTCAGATGGAAGTCTATTAAAGAATTTAATGCAAAAATAATTTGTGCCATCTCTGGATTTCGCTAATCTATGAAATTTAGGCCTAATATTGTGTCGCTCTCTTGTATGATGAAAATGAAAATTTTCTTGTCGAACAAATCTATTCTGATTATTTTTTATATAAATGAGACATTCAAATATGTAAACTGACGGCATTGTAAGAATATTTAGCAGTTTGAAGTGCTCCCGACAATCATCTCTGTATTTTATTCCAGCCATAATTCTAATACATTTACGTTGTAAACCAAAAATTTTATCACTGTGAGACGAATGACCCCAGTTCAAAATTGCATAAGTCATGGTGGCATGAAAAGTACCATAATATGCAGATATGAGTACAGGCTTAGATACTACACGATCCAAATTACGCAGTAGGAAAATATTCTTAGATAAACGTGCGGATAAATCATTGACATGTTTTTCCCAACTCAATTTAGTGTCAAGGTGAACTCCAAGAAATTTAATGCTATTTGAGTTATCACAAGTATTGATATGGCGAAGTGTAAAAAGCAAAGATTGAGTTTTGTCAACATTTAAGTTCAATCTATTAGCAATAAACCAGTCCTTTATCAGCGGCAGCGTATCCACTGAATCCTCTGTGAGTTTAATTAAGTTATTATTTGACTTTAAAGCGGTAGTATCATCGGCAAATAAAATAAAATCAGTAGTTATATCACAATTTGGGAAATCATTGATGTAGATAAGAAATAGAATAGGGCCCAATACTGAGCCTTGGGGAACTCCATGAACAATTTTTGTTAGGTGTGAAGAACAAGAATTATAAAAAACATACTGAGTTCTGTTCGATAGATAAGACTCAATAAGGGACACGCTATTGTCATCAAAATTGTAAAATTTTAGTTTATTTAAGAGAATTCTGTGGGACACACAGTCAAATGCCTTAGTCAAATCGTAAAAATTTCCACTGACAACATTGTTTGATTCGAAATTGTTTAAAATAATTGTAGTCAACTGGTTAATAGCTAAAGTTGTTGACCTTTTGTTCCTAAAACCGTATTGACTAGAATGGAATAAATTATTGTTTTCAAAATACTCTGCAATTTGCATTTTTAAGGCAGTTTCGAAAACCTTTGCCAGAACGGGAACAAGAGATATTGGTCGGTAGTTAGATACATCATCTTTCTCACCTTTCTTAAAAACAGGAATAACCTTGGATAACTTGAAAGCTGTAGGAAATACGTTGGAGCTAATACATTGATTAATTAGTTTAAATAGTGGAAAAATTATAATGTTCTTAAGAGTTTCCAAGATTGGAACATTCAAATCGTAAGCATCTTTGCTTTTTTTTACTTTTAAGTTATTTAGAATAGTCCTTCCTTCATTAAAAGACAACTCTCTGAATTTAAAAGTCGTTTGTGACCTCGGGGCAGTCAAAAACTCGGAAGGTAACTTGTTGGGAAGCGGGAGCTCACTCAAAAGACGCTCTGCAATATTGGAAAAATAAGTATTAAAGTCATTAGCGTTTAATGAATCGCTTACAGGTGAACTGCGGTCATTTTTATTTTTTATGAGGTTCCATATTGCTGCTTGTTTATTAGTAGATGTATTTATATAGTTGTCATTGGCGTATGGATTGCGACGTAATTGTCTTCTTGACCTGCGAGTCTCTGTGGATTTTTCCAGTTTATTATCTTTTAAAATACAAAACAAAAACAAATTTTATGCAAATATTAAAAATACTTAGTTTGGTTGTTTATGACCAGCGCTTTATTTTATAATTTAAGGAGAAGTAATACTAATACTCCAGTCGAATTAGAGTTTGAACTTGAAAAAAAATATTAGTAGACATTTTAATGCACTTTATGGCGGGGAAAGGTATGTAGAATGATGATATTAACAAAGGAACCCGAAAGAAGTCACGCTAAGTTGGCAAATTGGAAATAAATGGCAAATTTAGGTTTTTTTTCAACTTTTTTTACTGTCCACGAAAATCTAGAGGACTTATCGGAAATTTAGTTATTTTATGTTGTAGGCAATTAAATTATCTTATTATACTGACATGAGCTCTTTTCTTTTTCGATTGTCTACAGAGAAAATGAAGCAAAGTAGATTGCGTTTCTTGGCAATGTCCGCAAATTTCACCGATATTTGACTGCATATTCACCACCATAAATAAATACGATCTACGAAAAAAAAAAGTTAAATACAAAATTTTTGGTTTTTGAGTTACAGGTCTTCAAAGTTGTCAAAAATAAAATTAATTTAATTAATAAGTTCATAACCCTTTCGCCTATCGCGTTAAAATTTGGTACATTTATTTGGACTATTATGACTAACGCTTTAAGAAATAATACGCCATAATAGTCCAAATAAATGTGCCAAATTTTATGACGATCGTTAATAAGGGTAATGAAGTTATTTATTAAATTAATTTTTATTTTCGACAACTTTGAAGGCCTGTAACTCAAAAACCAAGAATATTTTATTTAACTTTTTTTCTGTACGTCGTATTTATTTTATCGTCGTGAATATGCAGTCAAACGTTGTCGGTGAAATTTGCGGACACCCTGTATACAATACGTGTTTCAAATTATAGCGGTTACATTGTTAAGAAACCATCATAGATAATTAAGTTGAAGCTAAAGCTGTCGATAACATTAGATGTTTGAACAAAACATCTTTTATAAGATTTTTTAATGTCCTTTGGATATTCGTATCGAAATAAGTTGAGATTGATTTTATAATAAGTCATCCACTTAACTGTTTATTAAATGTTGTTTTTTTTTATTCTTAACGATTTCATTGTTTTTAAAATTGTATTTGCAAAAAAAAAGATCTATAAACATTTTCTGTGAAACGAACAGTTTTGGAATTATTTAATCAACTGTGGTGTAGTACGCTTATTTTGGACTAAAAAAAACTCGAAAATAACTGGATTAAAAATCAAAATTCTGACGTTCTTAACGATACAAATTCAGTTAACGTTTACCTTTATCTAGTTAAATCGCCTGCCCAATATTCACTAATCTGTGTCAAACATCTTGTTTGCATATTTGTAATGTTCGTTAAAAACTTAAACAACCTGTAACTTGCAAATTATCAAGGTAGCATCGCTACTTCATTTAAATACATCTTATATAACCAGGTGAAGTTTGACCTATGCAATTCGGAGCACCCTGTACAAACAGGACTATCGTTTAGAACAAAAAAAAATACCTAATAAATATTATACACATTATAAGTAGTCCGTTTCATGTCAATTCGTTAGGCAGGAGCAAAACAACAAACAAGTACACATTTTGCAACGCAATTTTGTGAATAGAACAAGGAAAGTAAATCCAAAGTTCACTTAACTTAGATACATTTTTTTTAATCAGCCATCGGCTATTCCTTACCGAGTTGCACACACAACACTGATCTTCCGTAACGAAAAACGCCACACAAAAAGTAGGTATTGGCTCGTATATAGGGATGCATTTATTTTGCATTACCGATTGTAGCAATGACACAGACGGTGTCGTATAAAATTTGGCAACGACTTGAAACACGCAGCGACGAGGAACAATTCAAACGCAGAGTGGCAGTTGCTAGATTTATCTATATTTTTACTTAGGACGGTATTTTTGTATTTTCATTTACAGTTCCCGCTGCCAAATATACAATTATTGAAATTTGACATACTTTATTTTCATATTTTATAGGTGTTACTTTATTATTGCCTTACACATATTTTAATAATAAAGTTACACCTTAAAATACCACGAAATTAGATAAATTATTTATTTATTAATTTATAGTAAAGATGTTCAAGTCCGTTTTTTAAATGACATTAAACTGAAAAATGAACAAATTAATTAGATGCAACTATTTTCTCATGACCAACCCCATTAGCACATACTTCGTTCAATTCAAAAAGCGGTATAGTTCAGGAGAATTACACATTGGCATGGCTGTTGCTTGACGTAACTTGGATATTAGTAAAAATCGGTCGAAAATAGTTTATACAATTAAAATATAAGGTTGCGCCAAGAAAAAAAGTTGTGCAATTTGCAGAAAAAATTAAAAACTGCAAAAATACTCAAAAATGACGTGTTTTTTTCTAACATTTTCCAACATAACTTCTTAAATATGCAGTTTACAGAAAAAACTATTACTGGTGAAATTGTTTGTTATGAAATTTGCTACAAGATAGAATTGTTTTGATACCTGCGCATATCATATTTTTGTTGCTAAATAGCCAAAACAACGTAAGAAAGTGATGAAAATCGAGGTAATTTGGAAGTGTCAAACTGACAGGCAAGAAATTGTCCAATTCTACTATAAATGTAGATGTAAGTACTTTAAACGATTATAAAACGAAATTCCAAAACCCGATCCAAATCGGT